AAAAAGAAATGGCTAAAATACAGGAATCTTAAAAATAAATATTCATTATGAAAAAAAGAAAAGCTTGAAGAGAATACATTAGATAAAAACATTTAATGGATAAGAGGAAATGCTAAAGCAAAAGCACGTGAAAATTAAAAGCCACCAAGGACAGAAATGTTAATGTAAAATATGAGTTCAAGAAAAGACAATAGCAAAAAAAGCATGCTATCACTCAAAAAAGAAAGTAGCTCTTTGAAGTAAAACTTAAAATGGATGCTATATATTATTTGAGTTTTTTTAAAATAAAAAAGCTCATCTTGTTTTCATAAGTCAGTTTAAAAACACAGATATGTTTATTATCTTGCTATTAACACAGATTATTCTTTTTCTTTGTTTTTGCAGTATTGGGGATTGAACCCAGGGTGTTCTACCATTGAGTTAGTTCCAGTCCCATTTATTTATTTATTTGTCTATGGTACCAGGGATTGAACCCAGGGACCCTTAAAGACTGAGCCACATCTGCAGCCCCTTTTTATATTTTATCAGAGACAGGGTCTACTTTTCTTACATTCTGTAAGTTGCTCAGAAAACACACCGAGTCCCAGTTTTGTCCAAATTGAAGAGTCTTTATTTAGCTGGCTGGCTGGTAACTGCCTCCCACAGGACCCACAGGACCCATAACCAACTCTGCAAGGAACAGCCCCAAACCTGAGCACTTTAGGATATTTAAGGCAAAAACTACAAAAACCACATCCAGGTTCCAGGTTGACAATAGCTGCAAGCAAGCAGGTACAGAAGCTGAATTGGGCAGTTAGAGACAATGCAATGGATACATTGGTATTTCTCACGGGACTTTCCAGGTTGGCATAAGCAGCAAGCAAGCAGAAGGGAAGTGGGTGAAAATGAGCCTAGTACAGTACAAGTTAGAGAATGGTTATTGATGTCTAAACAATCTCTGACAAGAAAAATGGAAAATCAAAGAGAAGAACAATTTTACATTGTATAAGAGTTGCTATTTTGTGTTCAAATAACTATTAATGGGTACATGGACGGGGCTTTCACATGAGAGAAGCATTTCTTACATGATATGGAGTTTCAGGGTAAAATGGAGTCTGTTTGGTCATTGCCCATATAGCCTGGCCCATAACAATAATATCTAATGAATAACATTAAGTTAAAATGCCTTTAAATGTGTCTTATAACTGGAAATAAAAATTGAAATAGGACAGCTTTGAAAATAGCCACTAGTCAGGCAAACTGAGATGATTATTTTTATACTCACAAGATTGCTTTATTCAGATTTAACTATCTTAACAGAAAAGTTCTGAGAATAGTGCAAAATTATAAAAAACAACAGAAATGAAGAATTATATATATGCTCAGAGAGAAAAAGGAGTATCTTTCAAAATATAAGAGCCTAAAATGCTTAGTTTGGAATAAATCAAGCCCCATTTTGATTTACTATTAAAAAAAAAAAAGTATTTGAGAGATGTAAGTTTTCAACCTAACTTTCACCACTTTAGCAGATTTGCCTAACTTTAAACTTGTACCTAGTCAGTGAATCTTAGATAATTGATGTTGTTTACATTATATCTTCATAATCGTAACTGGCTTTGATAATTTTGTGCTGTTCAAATAGGATTTCACATATATGTCTTAATTCCAAATAAGCATGATCAAAAAACAGCATACTGTTATACATTGATATTTGCAAAGTTACAAATCAATGGTCTACAACTACTATTATCCATTCAAACATATAAATATGCCTGAAACCATGACAACCAGTGTATTATTCCTGAGAATGTGAAGATTAGTATTCAACCATCCATTCAAATCTGCATAATAAAACACTGAAATCACCAACCAATAGTAATTAAAAGCCTGCTGGATCATATATGTACTAGGACAAATTCTTCTTCAATTATATATAATATGGAATTTTAAAATGACCATATTCTAAAGAAGGCAGTGATTACTATAACAGTAATTGATCCTATGATCTTTTTTTCTTACAAAATTCAGTTGAATAAAACACACGTTGGTCTTTGCCACATGCTGGGGCCACAATTGTGAATTAGACAATATTCATGACCTTAGAATGGTTAGAGAATGGCACATAAAGTCTATTTATAGTTCAGTTGGTACAGAATAGACATGAAAATACATTTAAGAAAAAAGTGTTCAATATACAAAATTTAAGCTCAAATAAGTTAAAAAAAAAAAATGCCAGTCTATCAAATACTGACTAAAAGCTTAATATGGAGGTTCCAAGTTCAAAGGTATAATTTTATTTTTAAAGTAGCAGCAATAATTACACATTGATGATACATCAACTCATTCAAAATGGTTACCTTTTTGGTTTGCAAGGCTACTGGAATTATATTACCAATGCCAGACATCCACAGGGAGTTTATTACTCTAGTGTTTCATTTTATTTCAGATAGTCAAAAATCTTTTGGGGCCAGGGTTAATGAATAAACTAAGTGGTAAACCTTTTAAGAATAATAATTTGGTGACTGCTGTATATTTTTTTAAATTTTATTATGGCTTATAAATGTCTCTCAACAAATAAAAAAAATTCTGGGTGCTAGTTACACAGTCTATGTTTGAAATATTATCTTCAATGTTGACCTCATTCAAGAATGATACTTCTAAGAAATAAATGCTATCATATGCGTTAAAAAAAACTCTTCCAAAATAAAAATAAATATGATTGCTTTTATTCTTTTATAATGGTATTTCAATTTTTTTTCACATTTAAAAAACTCTTGATACCTCTCATATCAAAGTTACCTTTTTTTTTTTGGTGGTCCTGGGGATCAAACCCAAGGCCTTGTGCATGCTAGGAAAGCACTTATATTATCACTTAGTAAGAAAAAAAAAAGACTTCTGGACAAATACTTTGTATGTCCCACTATCCTGAATACAGAATACCTCCAGTATAACAAAAGAATCTATCCTATTTGAACAGAATTTGTGGGATTAATATTTCCTAGTAAAATTTACTATTTTATGTTATGGCTATTCTATTATTCCACTCCAATACCACCCCCCCCCAAAAGCCTTTTAAAACATGGAAGGGTTAAAAAATAGATTCTATTTGAATTGCTTAGAAGACACATTTAACAAACTGAAGTAAGTGACTAATATTTTCTTTCCTTTACTCATTATAGCTTCTCAGGAGTCAAGAAATCCTGTTAATCCCTTCCTGCTACAGGGCAACAGCATTAATCCTAAAGCCACTAACATCTTTGGAAAAGTGAATGGCAGCTGACTGAAGAAGGGGAAAAAGAAAAATTTATGGGGCAATGTAAAAGGGAAGCTGTGTCAGGAATATTAAAAGAACTGTGAATATAACACATTCTATATATGATTTTATTTATTCTTTGCATTAAGAACTAGCAGATATCATTTCATTATTGACAATGAAATCAATTTAATCATAACAAGAAATGAAGTTTGATCCTAAACTAAATATATGTTTTACTGAAGTTAAAAATCCCTAAAATCTCTATATTTGTGATGATGAAGAAAGACTTCCACTGCTACTAAACTGAAACTAAACTGCTACTAAACAGTTCTTTTTTCTAATATCACTTCTCCTATGATCTCCTTCCTCATAGTAGATATAACTTGGATAATGGGCTTGGCGTTAAAAGACCACAGTATGAATTTTAACCTGTGCCAATGGAACAAGCCAACAGAAGAAAAGCATTAATTAGATTAGGAATTAAAAACCTTGGGTCTGAATCTCCGCTCTATTACTTGAGATTTGAGACCCTGGGCAATCAAAAGATTTCTTTGATTACTATGATCCTTTATTGCCATATCTGTGCAATAATTATCATACAGACTGGGTAAGATAATTTACTGTACACAAATAATATTTCTATATAAAATAGTAAACAAAAAGAATAAAACAATGTAACTGTACAAACAGACACGGCTATTTCAGTCAATGAAGACTGAAGTACATGAAAGGATTTACTAGGCTTTCTTACAAACAAAATGCTGTTTCCAACGTAAATAATCCTGGCTCAAAAGCACTCAGGGTCCCCTAATCAAGACTATGCAAAATCAATCTAGTCATACAGTTTACTCCCTTGCATTGCTCTCCAAATACTTTGGTGAACAGTAAGTACCTTTTTCTAATCTCTGATAGCATTACCTACACCTCGATAACCTGATATCAACTCTTACATTTTAGAATTTTCCTGTGTATCAGGTTTGTCCTTCTGGTCTAAACAGATCCAATACTGTTAGAATTAAAGAACCATGGGTACACTTACTGTTGATATATATACATATATGATATATATACATATATAAGCAAGTAAGTACTATACTCTGTAGGCAAATAAGATAAACTGAATTAAAACCAAAATAACACAATTCAATTATATGGTAACAAAGTTGCAAAAGAGATTAGTACTCACTCAAATGGATTTTTTCTGAGGCAAATCTGACCTAGAAACCTAAATAATTTGATCCTTTTCACCAGTGGGTTTCCAAACAAGAGGGGCAAACGACTATCAGGAGACACTAATAATTGTAAAGGAAATCAATCTAACACTAATTTATTTCATACTGATATCATTTTATTTACAAGGTATGAGACATATATTATAGTCAATAGACAATTTTCTGTGGGAAGATCAAAAGGAACTTCTGTTTCTAGACTAAATTAAGCCAATGATATTTGCATGATTTCACTTGGGAGCAAAATTTATTCATGTCATCATTTAATTTACTAAGACTTTAAATTTGAAACAATATTTCACATAAGCCCCTAAATGCTATAACATGCTAACAAAGCATATACAAACTAAATATACTTACCAAGAACAATACACACTTGCAGTTTGGAGCTGCTGGGTAAGATAAGTGGTACAAAGAACAAATGCTGTGTTATCTTGACCCTCAGATTCCAGATTACATATGATGTCTAGTACTTCCTTGCAGTCGACTTTTGCAATCTATCAAAAATGAGATGACTAAGTTAAAGACAAAATGTTGGTGACTTATCTATAAACTTTGTTATGTAATAATAAAACTTCTTTGTAGTATTTTCTTTGATAATTGTTGAGGCAAGAATTTCCTTCTGTTGACTAATGGCTGAATAGTACTGCATAAATAGTTCACAAACAAAGAAGGGAACTAATATTTCTAAGGAAGTTCTATTACATTCTCAACAGATATGAACACTGTGTATAGTTTTTTTAAAAACTATACAAATGAACATTACTATCACATAAATGAGTCAAATTTTGCATAATAACCATAGGTTATTTTTGCCTTGAAGTATAATCTTTTTTTTTTTTTTTTCCTGTTTTTGATTCTTTTTTTCCCGTTTTTGATTCTTTTTTTCCCAATTTTCTTCAGGTCACTCTAGTTACAGGTATTAAAATATATGGCTTTCCCTAACTGCCAAATAGGGCTAAAGGAGACCAGTTCAGAAATTGTTTTAAATATAAATGATTTATTAACATTATTTTTTCAGCTGGGCATGGTGGTGCATGCCTGTAATCTCAGTAATTTAGGAGGCTGAGGCAGGAGGATTAAGTTCAAGGCCAATGTCAGCAACTTCCCAAGACCCTGCCTCAAAATAATAAAGAAAAAAGGGCTATGGGCCAGGCGCAGTGGTATATACCTATAATCCTAGCAGCTCGGGAGGCTCAGGTAGGAGGACTGTGAGTTCAAAGCTAGCCTCAGCAATTCAGGGAGGCCCTAAGCAACTTAGTAAGACCCTGTCTCTAAATAAAATATAAAAAAGGGCTGGGGATATTGCTCTGTGGTTAAATGCCCCTGGGTTCAATTCCTGGTACCAAACAATAACAACCACAAAAAGGGTTGGGGATATTAGCTGTGTAGCAAACAGCCCCTGGGTTCAATCTCTAATACCCAAAACAAAAAGTTTAAGAAGTCAGTTTTTCATAGGATTAAGAAAAAAATATTTTGTATCAATGAGTTTTGTTTATTTTCAAGACAGGGTCTTGCTATGTTGTTCAGATTAGTCTCAACCCCTAAGTCTTAAGTGATTGAAATTCCCATCAGCCTTCCAAGTAGCTGGGAAAATAGCTATGCACTATTATGCCCAGCTTATGAGTTTTTTAAACAATTAGAATTCTTTTTAGAAATACATCATTCTCATTTATACTATTTAAGACATCTTTTTAAAATTTTCCTCCTTTTTGGTACTGAAGATTGAACCAGGAGTGCTTTAACTACTGAACTACATCCCCAGTACTTTTTATTTTGAGACAGGTTCTCACTAAGTTGCTAAGAGTCTTGCTACATTGCTTTCGCCTTCTGAGTCACTGGGATTAAAGGTATATGCCACTACATCCAGTTTATTTAAAGAAATCTTAAAAACAAAACAAAACAAAACAAAAACTTGGGAAAAACAGCCAAATTTGGGGGGGCTCTTTCTTCTATAGTGAAAAACAGGATAAAATGAGAATCAGTCATTTACAGACCTTTTCTCATGCTATTTTATCATTTCTCTTAGTAAACAGCATTATCAGGACATAATCTTGTAACTGTCAGCATTATAAATATCAATTATATAGGACACCAAATATATAAAACAGATAATCTCAGGACAAATGTGATAGGTATCACAGCAAATGAGGTAAACAAATCAACTCCTCCGAGTACTATCAAGTTGCAAAAGGTGGTTCTAAGTCTCTAATTTAGTCACATCTTAACACAGGAGGAGAAAGGCTTCTTTCAAAGCTCAGCTCAAATGCCATTTTCTCAGAGAAACTTTTTTGTTATGCTTTAGATCTGAGGTGTCCCCCAAAAGCTCATGTGGGTGACACAATGCAAGAAGGCTTAAAGGTGAAATGATTGTCAGGAGAGCCTTAACCTAATCAGTGCATTAACCCACTGGGATTAACTTGGCAGTAATAGTAGGCAGGTAGGCTGGAGGAGGGGAGTCTCTGGGGTGTGCTTTTAAGGTTTATATTTTGTTGTGGTAGTTAAGAGCTCTTTGTTTCATGATTCCATGTCCTGATCTACTTTCCTCTGCCACATTCTTCTGCCATAATGTTCTGCCTCACCTAGAGCCCCAAAGAGTAGAGTCATTATCTATGGATTGAGACTCAGAATCTGTGAGCCCCCAAATAAACTTTTCCTCTTAAAATTGTTCTCATTGGGTCTTTTGGTCACAGCAGCATAAGAGCTGATTAAAACACCTTTCCTAACTTCTAAGACTGTTATTAGAATACCCTTCAAGCACTTTTAAATTCCTCCTTTATTGAATTTATCACAACTGCAATTCAATCATTTTCTGGGCAATTGATTACCATTTGTCTTCTCTGCTAGAATATAAAATCCATGAGGTTAGGGACTAGGTACATTTTTGTTCAAAACTCAGCATTTATCACAGTGTTTGGACCATAGGAGACATTCAGTAAACAGGTGTTAATGAATGGAATAAATGAATCAGGTTTAGTCAAGATAAGAAGTTCATATTTACAAAGCAAACCTTACACAATTCTGTATTCTCTAAACTTTTCTGAAACAACATGTAGTGAGTTAAGAGCAACAGTATAGTATAGTGGTTAAGAGCATCATTTTAGAAACAGAGTTGGAGCTACTGGATAAGATAAGTTGTATAAAGTCTTACTGTGTAGTTTCTATTCCTGCTCTATAGTTACCAGGGGTATGAGCCTGCTGGCTAGGATACATAAATCTTCTCTGTGTTGTAGTTTCCTCATCTGTAAAGTAGGAATAGGAGAATTTCCCTCACAGAGTTATTATAAAAATAATGCTTTTTCTTTTCTGTTTTTTTTTTTTTTCTCAGGGGCACTTAACCACTGAGCGGTATCCCTACCCTTTATTATTCTTTATTTTGAGACAGGGTCTCACTAAGTTGCTGAGGCTAGCTTTGAACTTGTGATCCTTCTGTCTCAGCATCCTGAGCTGCTAGGCATGAGCCACTGCACCCAGTAGAAAAATATATTTTTAAAAGGAATTGGCAAATAGGGAGTAATTTATAAGTGTTGTTAAAATGTTTTCATGGGCTGGGAATGTAGCTCAGTGGTATAGCACTTGCTTATCATGTGTAAAGCCCTGGGTCTGAAATCCCAGTACCCTAAAAGAAAATAAAGAATGAATACCATACAAATCATTTTCAAAAGATAATATCATTCTCAGAAAAATCACTTGATGGTAATTTTATCTCATTAGTACTAGAGGCAAAATTAGTTTGCTAAAGCCTAAAATATAACTAAAATAAAATTTCATTGTCAGGAGGGAAAAAAAAAACCTTATCAGACATCATGAAGATGGAATTCTACAGATGCCTAAAACAATCATTTTCTCATCTGTAAGCCGAACAAATCAGAAGCCTCATCTACAGAGAAAATCACCACCATATAACCACTTAAAATTATACTCATCCAAAGACCAAAGAGTTCCTATAGTTAAGAAAAGAACTGCTTCAGAACAAGCACTATGATCCATGCCATGCTAAAACTCCCATTGAAAACCAATCCTAAACCAGGCACGATGGCACATGCCTGTAATCCCAGCAGCTCAGGAGGCTGAGGCAAGAGGATGGTGAGTTCAAAGCCAGCCTTAACAAGGTGCTGTCTCTATAAAAAAAAAAAA